TTATTGTAGAGATGAGGTCTCGCTGCCCAGGCGGGTCTCAAACCCGTGGGCTCAGGCAATTCACTCACCTCAGCCTCCCAAGGGCGCGGGGTTGTAGGCTGAGCCACCGAGCCCGGCTTCCTTTATGTCTTTAAATGCCTATTTGGATAGTGGCTACTGGTCCTACCAGAGGGAGGTGGATAGGATGGAAGGTAAAAAAGGAGAGACCAGACCAGGTAGGTAGCTTTCCCATTTTTGTTTTTGAAAGTTATGTCTGTAGTAAGAGAAAGGTTACCTAATGTTGTCTCTTCTATAAGTTGCCCACTCCTACAACCATATTTAAATGCCCGCACAGTGCCCTGCGTAGAGAAGAACTAAGCAAATATTTAAAATAAAATAAAGAAAAGGGGTATACACCCAGACCAGAATTACTAGCTCTGTTTTCCTTTAGAGATGACTTAGAAGGTTGAATATTGCAAATCATGAAAGCAGAGTACTGAGAGAGACCTTTGAAAGTATTCAGTTCAGTAATTCCCAATCCTTTCATTACAAATATCATTTTTAAAACATTACAGTGTGGATGTCATGATGCTGTACTTCTAATATCTTCTGAAAGTTGAATTTCTTCTCCCTCCCTCCCTCGGTCCCTCCTTCCCTCCCTCCCTCCCTTCCTCCCTCCCTTCCTTCCTTCCTTCCTTCCTTCCTTCCTTCCTTCCGTTTTTCTTTCTAAAGCCAAATAATTAAAGAACAAAAAAACAGGCAGGTCAGTAAAGACACTGGTTTTCTGACTTCTCTTACCTGTCCCCACACAGTGTGTGTTCGCTTCTCCAGAAGGACCTTCGAGCTCACCTTGAATTAGCCTTAGGAGACACAGATGCTACAACTCTCCCTCCTGGATTTCAAGTCCTCTTTTTGATTTAATTTCCATTTCCTGTTTCATATTCTCAGAGGAGACAACTCTGTGGCATCTTACCAATGGTAGCTGTTCCCACTGGAGCTGGACCAGGGTTGGGGACACTTGAAAGTTGTCCCTTGTTGACTCTACCTTTTGGCCCTGCTGTTTAGGCATGACCTGAAGCCTCACGTTGCATTTTTTAAAGATTAGCACTCGATACTTAAATGTGCTGTATCTTTAATAGCTCACAGCAAATGAAGGTCAGTAAAAAATTAGAGCCCACAGAAAACCCCTACCACTGTAAGTAAATATTTTATGAATAATAGTGAGGCTTGAGTTTTACTTTGTTATGTCAATCTGCTAGTTCTTCGAAGTGCCAGATTTGTAGCTTAGGCTTCAGAAGTTTCTGCTTTGTAATTTATATGCTGGTGTTTGTCATGCCTTGTGTAAGGAATCTCCCATCACAACAGACACACACACATTCCTATACCTCGGACCTGTTTTCTCTCATTTTTGCTTTTGTCCTCCCAACAGGTTCTGGATTCTTCATGCATTTTGACAGTAGCTCTGTAAATATGGGCGCTACAGCAGTGCTGGAAAGCAGAATGCTATACCCCAAGAGAGGATTTCAGTGCTTGCAATTTTATTTATATAACAGTGGAAGTGGAAGTGACCAACTGAACATCTACATCAGGGAGTATTCTGCAGACAATGTGAATGGCAGTTTAAACCTCGTGGAAGAATTAAAAGGTAAAATAGCAACATGCTTATTGGGTGGGTTCAGAGCGAGGCAATCTTAGTGCTTTCCTTTAGTTAATGCCTTCACAGGGAGGAATAGGCCCAATTACCACTCACCACAACCGTCACTTCTCAGGCTCAGGCAATCCATCTGCCTCAGCCTCCTGAGTGGCTGAGATTATAGGCACGTGCCACCGCACCTGGCTAATTTTTTGACATTTTGCAGAGACAAAGTCTTGCCGTATTGCCCAGGATGGTCTCAAATTCCCGGGCTCAAACAATCCTCTCGCCTTGACCTCCCAAAGTGCTGGCATTGCAGATGTGAGCCACTGCGCCTGGCCTTAAACTTTCTTGTTTTATGCCATGGCAAGGAAGCTAAAGTGAGGATTCTTTGTGTATGCTGTATTATCAGCCTTTGGCACTGTGGAGGTCAGTTCTTCGTGAGAGCCAGTATAGGCAAATGGGAAGGGGTACTGCTTCAAGGTTAGTTACAACCTGTGGGACAGATGAGGTAGGAACCGGGTGAAGGGAGGACTGGACCTGTCCCTGAACATTGCTGGGGACCTCTCGTTATCTCTCAGAGTAGCTCTGTCCATAAATACTTTGGCTGTTTGATTTCCTAGCTCACATCTTACCAAATGTGCCATCAGACTGGAAAAGGGACTCTTCTAACTTCTAGCTTAACAAATAAATCCCAGGGAAGGATTCTGATCTTCGTGACTTGGGTTACATACAACATCTGGAGCAATTCCTGAGTGGGAAGTGGGTGCCCACATACCGATCAGTGAGGTGGGCTGTGCTGACCCCTTCATCAAGCAGATGGTTGAGAGGGTGTGCCCTGAGGAAGGCAGGAGCTGTGGGCTGGCAAATATATTACTTTCTGCTCCACATGGAGATCTCTTGCTTTGAAGGCATTAAGTAAAACTGCTTGTAAGATGGGTCCACGTTATGCTATATGTTATGCCATTTTCTATTTAATAAGGAGAAACAATCTGAAATCCAGATGGTATGTTTCTTTATGAACACCTATGAACAGTGAGAGTCTTAATCTCACTAAGAATAAATACATTATGCATATCCATTATGCAATTTTATGATAATTATATATAATATACATCATACATTTTATAGATATAAAAGCCTTATATGTAATCCTCATATATAAGCCATCTATCTGCTAATAGAAATATTATATACTCTGTATTAATATGCATGTTAATATACATAGTAATCTAATGTGTATATGATATATATGATATACATCACATATATAGCATATAATGTATATATATAACTATCCAGACTTGGAAGGGGGATCCTTTCCATTGGCAATCTGTGAATTTATCATTAATAACTGATAACACAAAAGGCGCTTAAGAAATTTACTTAGTACATCACTGAGGGTGTGTGATCCTAAACCAGGGGAAGTAAGGACCAATGGGAAACCCAAACTTCACCTGCACAGAGACCACTTATGTACATAATCCTGACTTGTACCCCGCATCTTTAAAATAAAATAAAGAAAAAGAGAAACAAATAAAGTTTGGTTAGGAGCTCTGAATTTAACCTGACAATACCGATAATCATGAAGTAGTTATTATTTATTAATTTGAAGCTTTCATGAAAGGCTTCTGCTCAATCTAGAGTCCACCCATGGACAGTAGCATTTCCTGTAATTTGGATATTTCTAACTAATTTTCAAGCAGCTGTGTTTCATATTAAGTGCCAATTTCTTTGCACTTTAAGTCATTGTGCTAACTAGTGTGACATGAATTCCTTGGTTGCTGTCTGACTGAGGGCTTCTGGAGATTTTTGAGTGCACTGCTTCTTATTTGGGTGATATAAGAACATCAGCACCATGTGGTGTTAGCTAGGTGCATGGGGTGACAGTTGGGGAGGAAGTGCATGTTGCAGAGGAAAGAAGTGATACCAAATATCAGACAAATATGTACAATGTTCAGTCACTGGTAAGTGATCTTAGGAGTAAACTGTAGGATGGGAGCTTTCTAGGATTTGGTGGATTCCTGTTTAATTCTGCCAAAAGGTTGATAGAACATTTTGCATGTGAGGGAAGTATTGCAATCAAACTATAAATATATTAAAGATGGCTTTGCCTGGGTATCATGGGAATCTTGGATACAGGCATTAGAGTACTGAGCTTACTGGGCCACTTAACTAATAAGGAATGACTGGTTACTCATAAGTAGGCCATGGCATACTCATGAGTTAGATGTTGTTGACTCACTCCTCTCTGGGAAAGAGTAACCTTCTCTGGGAAAGGGTAACCTATTTGAGAAACAGCTAGATAGCCTTCAGTTATTCTGGAGAACATCCTGATCCCACAGAAATACCATTAAGTAAAGCCTGAACTGGAGGTGTAAGAAACCAACCTTTGACCTGTAGAAATCAGTAGCTCTTGGATGAACCTTTGTCTAGGAAGGTTAGAACTTGTACATGATTTGTAGACACTTGTCTTCTTTGAAATGATAATGACTCTTTTTGCAGATATACCCACTGGGAACTGGCAACTTTACCACGTGACACTGAAAGTGACCAACAAGTTTAGAGTGGTGTTTGAAGGACATAGAGGCTCTGGCGCATCACTGGGTGGTCTATCTATTGATGACATCAATCTTTCGGAGACACGGTGCCCTCATCACATCTGGCACATAAGGAATTTCACACAGCTCATTGGCAGCCCAGAAGGAATACTCTATAGCCCTGCATTTTACTCTTCTAAAGGTTATGCCTTTCAGATTCACTTGAATCTAAGCCATTTGACTGATGCAGGGATATATTTCCACTTGATCTCTGGAGCCAATGATGATCAATTACAGTGGCCATGTCCTTGGCAACAAGCCACGATGACACTCTTGGATCAAAATCCTGACATTCGACAACGTATGTCCAACCAGCGGAGCGTAACTACAGACCCATTCATGACCACTGGTTCGTGACACATTTTCCTTATGGCTAATACACAGTCATTGCTCTAGGAGGACAGATGATTTGGGGAACAAGAGATGGCACAGTCAGTTACCTAGGGAACTGTGAGCCCCAAATCGTAAGAACAGGTATTTAGGGAAAAGGTTTCAACAGTTGTTGATAGAGTCTTCCAAACAGGAGCCTGTTAGGAACACCAGTGAGGACTCTGAGAAACAGACAAGATATTGACTGAGAATTGATGACCATGCTTGAATTCTCACTTTTGTGCAAGCAGTGTTGGTTTTACAGTGATATGCTTGGGTTCAAATCCAAGGTTTACCTCTCATTGGCTATGGGACCTTGGGCAAATAATCTCTCGGATGGAACCCCAGTGTCCTCAGCTATAAAACCAGAGCTGTAATAACAATCCCACAAATTTGTTATGAGAATTAGTAGAGATCAGGTGTGGAAGCTTGTGGAAGGGCCTGGTGTGAAGAGGCCCTGAGGTGTTGAGTTCTCTTAACACATGCTGTCTTAGTCATGCCACTGGGAATGTCAAAAACAATTCACGTCTTGGAATGGGGATAGGTTCTTTTTATCAGAAGGAAGATATTGGACAGGTGCACTGGAGTGTTGGTGGGAAAGGTGGGAACTTCTTGTTAAGTTCTGAAGAACTTGCTAATGGTGACATTATTTATTCCCCATCTTCCAGTCCCAAAAAGAAGCAGCAAGCAGAAAGCAATGGATTTTTGGTCGGGGGGGGGGGGGTGTCTCACTCTGTCACCCAGATTGGAGGGCAATGGCAC